CCATCCGCCACCCACCTGCCACCACCACCCACCAACCGCCACCACCACCTCCCACTTATCCCACCCACCCACCACAACCAGCTACCCACCACCCACCGTCACCACTTTCCACCACCATCTTCCATCGCCACTTGCCGCCACTTGTCATATCTCACTTTTTTTATATTTTTAAATTTTTTTAAACATTTTGTCAATTACCAAACGCGTTTATAGTTTATGTTTTTCTAAAAATAAATAAAAAATAAATAAAAACCAGTTTATAAAATTTTTGTAAATATAAACTAAAAACGTAAACGTTACCTAATTGTTCCTGCCACACAAATTTATTAGCATTTTTTCTGCGCATTCTATGTTGTCTGGATATCGTATTTTCATCCAAAAATTGATTCATCTCACCAATATGTATGGTATATTTGACCTCATCACATTTTTAGCATTTTTACAAGATAATTCTAGAATGTACTTATGAGCATTTAAGGGCTCTCTGTTCTTTTCATTTCTTTTTGTTTGAAAGGTTAGTGTGAGAAATAAGGAATGCTTCTGAGTGGCATATGATGCAATGCTGTCATTTATGCTAAGTTGAAGTCTCTTTTTTCTCTTTTCTTTTTTTAATATAATTTAAAGATGAATGGAATATGTTTCCATTCAAGATGAGCGTTTTTGGGATTTGTAATGTTGAGTTGAAACATGGAAACCTTAGATGGTGGCACAGTACACATAATTTAGTTATAATTTTACACGTGTGACATCCTTTTTCCTTCTTTTTATTTAAATCAAAACAGTATAGGAATTTTTGACTCTACAATATTTAATCTTTGTTTATATGTGCAATCTGAGGCATATGTTGATCCATCACACTTTAATTTGGTCTGTAACTAAACATATGTCGGTAGATTTTTATAAATGGCACATCTTGTTTCTTTTTTTTTGTTTTTTCCCTCTTATAAACCCAATTTTTGATGCCTATACAAAAAGAATAAGTGATTGCCACTTGTTTTCCATGAAGTGAACATTGTCTGTCAATGTCATGCACTTGTTATCGAAGTTATTTTTTGTTTATTTTTCGTTTGTTTTGAAAGTGTTACCTTTTTCTTCACTTCATTGGATGTTATGACACATGATAGGATATTCAGAAATCTGTTATATTTATGGTGCAAAAATTGGTTGAACTATTTGAGCATAACTTCGTGTTCATCATCCGTGAATGTACCACCACTAAAAGTTTCTTATCTTTGTACACCCTGTTTTTGGATGATAGATTGCTGGACTTCTTCGTATTTGGGTTGGGTTGGACATTCTCTCCATCCGTTCTCTATTGTCCTTCAGTGGACAAAATATTGATGTTTCTACTCAACTGTCTCATTTTCATTTATGAACTCAATCAATAGATAGTGCTTCCAATATATCCTATTGTTTCTGACCATGTTACATTTGCTTGTGAGGTCGATCAAAAAAATTTAATGATGCAATTTTGTGACTTCTTAACGATGCATGTTTTTTAGGAGAAAGGTGATGATGATGACGAAGATGGTGATGAGGAGGAAGACAGCTGAACTCAATGGATAGCTTTTCACCTTTCTTGCTTCCGAAGTTTTGTTCATGGCAACCCCAATCATAATTGTCAGTTATTATTACAGACCTCTTGGTGACAAAAAATAACTATTTTAGGAAGTCACTGAATGATATCTACCTTGTGATTAACAAACTCTGCTCATGGATTTTTACTAGTAATATTTATAACTGCTTCTTATACCCTGGACCTTCTTTCTGTGCTTTCTATTCTCATTTTGTTTTTATTTTTTTATACTTTAATGGAGTGGATGCTGGGCTTCCTGGGGGGATTGGCATGATTGATCCTCCAGCCTGCATAGGGAAGATTGTTCGTTCAATTCTTGTAAGGTATGTCTGTGGCAGTAGAATAGAGATATCAACAGCAATGACCGTGGTTGTCTTCTATAATCAGCAACGGCTGTGGATTCAAGGGTTAGCAAGTGGACCTCTTTGTTATAAAACTGAAATATGCTCTCTTTGGCTCTGAGAAAATGATGCTGGATACAGAGCTATTCTATTGCCTTGTTGCCCATGACAGATCTTACAGAACGGCCAAAATGTTGGTTACTTTTGAGAGTTTAAAGTCAACAGTTGTCACTGGTTACTGGAAAGGAAACCAATCTGAGTCTGCCAACAGAAAGCAGGGCAAAAAACATCTAGCTGATTGACAGTATCAGAATGTGAACGATTAATGCAAATGAATGATGTACTCTCACAAATGGTCCAATGCTTATTCCCTCTGACTTGATTTGGATATGCTATAGTTTGATGAATATGAGCCTTGTAAAGCTTCCTTTTACTTCTGTTTTTCTTGAGCAAGGAACTTTGAATCCCACCAAGGATTTTGGGCAGTGAAAGACAATTCTTCCAAGGGATCCCAGCAAATTGCCAAGGCCTCTACCTAGATTCCCTCAGCTATCTGATAATATGGCTTCAAACATATCAGACCTTCAATTTTCCTTCTCAATTTTGCCTTTTCGAGAAAACTGTTCATGCCTCTATATTACAAAAAATGGCTAATTATGGTTCAATCAAACAAAAGGAATTGTGAAAGATATGAAGTACAATCAATTTGTACAACTCAAGAATCATCAGGTAAGAGCAACTTGCATATCGTTACACTTGATAACATTTTACCATCCAATCACAGATTAAAAAAAAAAAAAACATTAAGAAGTAGAAAAAGTAGAGCAAAATGGGTCTGAACCTGCTTGAACCGTAAGCCTCGTACTGACAGCAAGCATACTAAACAAGTGAAAAAGCTGATCAAGACTTGCATCCATTGAGGCGCACACAGAGAGAGAGAGAGAGAGAGTGTGTGTGTCTGTGTGCGCGCGCACGCTAGACTTGCATTAAACTCTAAAAATTAATACAGCAAGTTGTTACATGGTTAGGGGATAAAATTCAAAACAACCTTCCCCAAACATGACTCAAGTTCTTTGAATCACTTTCTATATGGAACCAAGCAGCTAGTATACAAATTCTGTCTCACCTAAGTAAGAAATATGGATCAAAACCATCCCAAGTTGATCCATCTCCTCTGGATTTGTCAATCAAATGACAAGAGGCACAAACCATTTTCTCATGTAACCTAACTACTAAAAAATACAAGTTCGAAATTAAAGGGTTCCTCATAAATGGATTGATAGCTTCTCCAAGTTCAACAACATCAAAAAGTAGAGAGTTACCGCTTTCAGATTCCCGTATGAAAACGCATTTTGAGAGGGCATAAAATCCAAGCAAATTTGCATATAGTGGTAAAAATGCATCCTTATGGTTACCCACACTACCGATCCAATCAACCCCTTCATGTTTGCCTTTATGATCATTTGCAAATGATATCAAGTGATGGTAAAATCTCGTTCTCCATGTATGTAAGAAATTACTTACCCCCTGTTTGTCAGAAAAGTCAACTGCCCAAGATTTTGAAATCGGAAGCTTCTCCAAATGAGAACAACAGATCTGACAGATCAACAACTTCTCTTCATGATGATTATCAATCTCCTTGTCAAAAACCCGTCTGACAAGATCACCTGTGGATATTACATAGTTTGCCACATTAATAACCCACTGGGAAAGATAGTTGAAGTACTTGAGCCAGTTACCAAAGATTGAAAATAGATGCTCAAAACTCAATTCGATTACTTTCTCCACTTGGGAGGGAACCACTGCAGTCTGAGAGTTTTCTCGTGGTCTCTTGGAAGTAAAGCACTTCTGCACATCTATAGCAAGCCTCCTTCTAAGCTCTTCATCCTCATCCTCCAGAAGCTTGATGCATGTGAACCATATATCTAGTATTTTATGTGCATACATATTAACAGCATCTCTTGGTTCAAAAACGGAAGATGGATTTTCAGATGGTATTTGAATATTGGAGACAAAATAGCCAATAAGCTCTGCTTGTTCTAGCAAACCAGATGCTACCAAAGATTCTGCAGCCGACTTTCGCTTGTTAATGGTCTCCGATGAGGCACTGTGTTGTTCAATTAGGTTGACATAGAAAACAATGCAATCATAGATGTGAGCCAATCTCTCAAATTGATCATATTTGCCAGGTTCAGCTGTTGTCCTCATCTCTAAGTTGGAAATAACAGAGCTTGTAAACAAATCAGCAAAACACTTCACACATATTCCCATGCAACAGATGAGTATTTCTTGAGTCTTCGCATGTCTTGTATGCTTGTATAAAGAAACCAACTTATCCCAAAACTGTAAGACTGAATCAAAATCCATATCACCAAGATATACGGTTTCCGCACATTGTTGGCTGACTGGTTTCTGAAATTGCAGCAAGTTCCAAGTAAAAAGAATTTTTAGAATGTAATACGTGCATTTGTGATTCTTCTCTGCCACTAAAATCTTCATCAGTGCTGCCTGGAGGTTAGTTTTGATCCAATGTGCAATGCTAATCTCACTCTTAGATTGGTCACTAGCCTCCATACCTGGTTCTGTAGCTTTCAGGAATAAAAGAAGCCACTTCAATGTTGCAATTCGAACTTCATATGATGCATCTGACATGGCGCGTACCAACCTTTGCAGAAAACTGAAACAGGCATTCTCCATTTCAGGTATCACTGCCAAATGTGAAGCAGGTGGAGAGCATTTGTGTGGCATCAGGAAATCTTCTTCAGCTACTTCTTTAGATGCTTGGGAAACACAATTGAAGTAGGAAATTGCTGCTTGTTTGCGAAGTTCTACTGTAGTTGGATCATAACACAATTGTCCATGAGTAGCTTCTACATCCAAGCATTCTGAGGATAACTCCCAGAGGAGGTCCCAAATGGGACCAATATTTTTGCTTATATGGCACGTTCTTGCAATACCGAGCATGTTATCTAGCACCCTTAAGAAGCAGCAGTTGATGGTCGGGCAAGGGCACAATCTGGGTCTTCCAATCCATGAACACATCACAAGAACTTGGAACAAGTCCCCGATTATCTGATCTTTCTTAGAAAAATCAGTGAGATTCCTACAATTGTTTTCCAGAAGAGAGCTTAACTGCAATAGCATTCCATGAATTGAATTACAGGAAAAATTGTTCTTTTCATCGTTCATGCTGACTGGGATAGATGGGTCTGAAGTTGACATCATTTGACTCTCTCTGCAAGGCAACTCGGAGGCAATATTGAGCAGGACAGTTGGCAGTTTCTCATTAGATACCAGGCCTGTTAAAGCTCTTGATGCAAGAACACGAACTCGATGATTGCTTTGGATGGAGCATCTCCTGATAAATGGCATGAATAGGAAAGGGTCCAGGGTATCTCCAGTTTCACTTGCAACTGTTGAAGGCTTAAGCCGAGATAAAAGAATTAGCATGGGGCATAAGCTTGGGTGCACAACTCTAGCCAGGTTGGATTCTGGATGTTGGGGAGGCCTATCGTTAAGAAACTCAGTCGCAACTCTCAGTTCATTGTATAAGAATGGATGCAATGTTGGATACCTTCAGAGAAGAAAGATCCAGCCATTTCTTAAGTGAGGGAGGGAACAAGAAAAAGAAGCATTATATCTCAATACAATAAGAAAGAATGTGTGATCATAAAGCAAGTCTGAAGTGTAACTGCCAAAAACAGGTAACTGATAATAGGTCCATGCTCCTTTACAAATCAAGGCTTCCAAAATACTCAAAATTGTGTACTTAAAAGGTAATATTGCTTTAAAGAACATGATAGATTTAAACTCCAAAAAAATAAAAAGAAACGTGTTTCAGATTACATTTTAACACTAGAAGAATATTCAAATGGAAACTAAAAAAAATTTCAGAACTGTGCAAATCTGTAGACTTCAACAGTTCAGGCAAACTTTAGAAGTTTTTAGAAGTTCATAGGTATGTATAATAATGCAAGAAGTTACCAAAATAAAGTAGACACAAAAATGTAAGGCAAATAAGATAGTGACAGCACACCTGTGGAAAATTTCAAGTCCGGTTAGTGAACGCCGTGCAGATTCTCGTTTTTGTACGTTGAGAAATCCAATCATGCGACGAACCAAGGCAGTGTAAGCAAGACAGGCACTGTTCCTGATCTCCCAATAGGAAGAAGAGAAAGAACGTATCGAGATAATCAAAGCCTCAGCAGAAAAACCTGAGACATCAGTTGCTAGGTTGGTATCATTGAAAGCAACTCTGAGAACATTAAATGCATGCACAGTGGGAACGACACCCTCATCACGGATCTTAGAGGTCCTTCCACTAATATCCATCTCAAGAGACACTGGGGAAGCAGTTGGTTGGTTTGAATTTATAGACAAACTATTGCATGAATCATTGTTTGGGGTGTTTACATCAGTCGGATCCAGCAAAGACCTGTTAGCTACATCTATTAGCCAACGTAGTGCCCTTGGGAGGAGCCTCTTTGGTGTACCTTCTGGCTCTGAGAGAAAAAGAGCAGTGAATGCTGCAGGAATACCTGCACTTCTCCTCAATAAATCATCCACTGTTTGTCCTTTGGCCACAGTTCTTTCCATAAGTTGCTCCATCCAAGATTCCGTCAACTTACAAAGTCTGACAAATGAAGATAACTTTAGAAAATGGATATAGTATATGTTTATGATTCTGTAAATAAATTTCTCATGATCTGCAGCGTGAGCAAAGGTTGGCAAATAGGGACAACTTCTCTATGAAATTTAGTTGCAACACAAACCCAAATTGATCAATTAGGATAAGTCTACCAATGAAAAATAAGTAAAAGAATTTGTCTTTGTCCAGAAACAAATTGTAGACAGTTTCATCTACTCCATGTCTTAAGACACGAAAGGTTCACAGACAGTCCAGACAGGCAATACAAACAGATAGTGTTGTGTCTGTGAAACACTCTAATGGACCCCACATCACCTTGCAGAAACAAAAAAAAATAAAGCATGGATTCCATTTTGATGCATAAGAAGGAACACTTGTAGAAGTGAATGATTATCCTTCAAAAACATTCAACAGCACAAACTCTTGTGAGCTTATATCACCCTGCAAAAATAGGTTGTGCAACAGAACTAATTTGATTATGAAATCAACCACATACAGCACAAACTTGAAAATATCTGATTTTTTTGTTGTCAAGACATTCCTATTTAAAGAAAAATGATAATCTTCAAGATACAAAGAATGTGTCTCTAACTGTTACTGGTAAGGTAATTATTATGACTGGAATTACTACACAAGTGTACAAAAATCCACAAATGTGGGTTTTCGACTCCATATTCTTCAAGAAGAAACAAAAAAATATATATTTGTTAAGAACTAGTCGAAATTGAGGGTTGCGTTTGGTAGAGTTTTGTAAATATAATTTGAGAGTATGAGTTGTATTTTGAGTTTGTGAGTTTTAGAATTATGATTTGAGTGTGGAAAATTTGTTTGGTGAAGAGTTTTGAAAAGAGTTTTGAATTGAGTGAGGAATTTTTGATGTGACATATGATATTTGATACAAAAACTTACAACTCATAATCAAACATACAACTCAAAATTCTATTAAAACATATAAAAAATATTTTAAAATTCGGAAAATATTTTTTTCGAATATATAAAAATTAACATATGTAAATTGCAAAAAAAAAAAAAAAAAAATTCACTTTTCCTCTACTTTTTTCATTCTATTCACAAATCACTGATCTAGACACAGCCTAAAATTCAACTTATGATTGTATTTGAATCAAAGATTTGAAGAAAAATTTACCAAGGGTAAAATAGAGTTTACAGAGAAAAAAGATTGAAATAATCCAAACACAGTATGTGCCCGGTAATTCTCACTTCTCAAATTTTCAATCCAAACACAGCCTAAACATAAACACAATAAACTGGTCCAATAGCATCCAGTCAACTTATATATAAACAGACTTCAAGTTCCATTAGTTCCATTTAAGCTTAAGCTCTCTATTTCACACCAAAAAAAAAAAAAAATTATCAGAGACTAGCAACTCCGCAATTTGCATCCTAACAACAACCGAAAAAAGAGCTAGAGGGCCACCAAGTGAATGTCATGCGAAGACAATCGAAAAGCTCAGCCCACACTTCTCTTTAAAACCCAGGTATTAAAGAGAGGGAAACTAGAGTCTTATAACTAGTATAGATGGGACAATTCTAGGCGATGTGAGACACATTCCAACACACCCTCTTGGACCACTACAACATACAGTAGCCGGACAAACGGCACACCAATCACATGCCCAACCAAGCTCTGATACCAAGTTGAAAAGTCCAACCCACACTTCTCCTTAAAACTTAGGTATTAAGGAGAGGGAAACTAGAGCCTTATAACTAGTACAGATGGAGCAATTTCAAGCGATGTGGAACACATTCCAACAAAGACCAGGATGTGATTCCATTAAGATACGCCATGGAAATCAAAAGTTCAACAAAAGAGCAAATTCCAATCAAACCCATATAAATATCGAATTTTGGTTTTTTGCTTTCTTTTCAGGTTGATGACAGATAAATTCATCGGCAGATGACATTCCTTGTATTATCATGACCTCTGAAACTATGCCATGAGTTATACCTTGGATCATTTGAACAGAGTAAACGGTTGCAGAGAGCTGTAAAACCAGCCCTTGTCTTATCAATTGCACCATTGTGCTTCATTTTCAGAAGGACTTCCAAGAAGTGGTTTCCAATAGTCTCAAGTTGTTTCAGATCAAGCACTACATCAGATGCCATAGATGGAGCACTGGTGGCATCAGAAAATGGATCCCCAAATTTTGACGAGTCTGAAGTAGGCAAAGGAATTTTTCTTATGATGGTTCCTAGAAGAAGACTCACCTGAAAACACGAAAGGTAACAATAAATATTAAAATATTAATGTAAAAAGACTGGAAATAAAATATTAAAAAACTATATATGTAAACTTTTACTTGATCCTATCTTATGTATATAATTCTTTATCTGAGGCTCTACCATTTTCTGCACAGGTAGCATTATTTTTCAGATAGCAACTAGAACAAGCAAAAGAAACTAACTATGAGCAAATCAAAGGATGATGGTGTAATTGTCCTCACTAGTTACATATTGTGAACAAGCAACTACCCAGAACAGAATAATAGTTAATTACCTCTTTCATTGCTAGCCAGCAACCAACCATGACAATCTGCTCTGATGGTTGGACATCTCGCACAACTCTTGAGTTTTTAACATCATGTTCGGATACAGACACAGAAACATCAATCTCAGCTGAAACCTCTGACAAAAAGGCATCATCATCAATCATACCGTCCATGTCCTCAGGTAAATACCAAGCATCAGCAGAAACCACCCAAAGAGCCAATGAAGTTATTCGCATGACCAATTCCAAGAGCTTCTCTAGTGTGAGTCTCATCTCGGAAAGACTAGACAATACTACATTGGAATTCCAGTCCAATTCCTCAACCGTATAACGAAGAGTAAGCAATACGCCATGAATAAAGCTTTTCTTGCATGCGTCAGAAAGATCCTTCTCTCCCTCCTCCACAGCAACATGCAACCAATCAATAAGCGATCTTACATATTCTACTGCAGGAGAGCTAGTATTACAATTTTGAAGATCCCCATTCGACAGCTCATGTGAATAAAAAGAAACAACATTGCAAGAAGGTTTGACCATCCACCCAAGTTCCAACACATACTTCCTAAATATGAGTCTTAAAGTCAGAGCTCCAGCATCACTTTCTCTGACACGAGGACTGCAAACTAATTGCTTAGCCCATGTGATTACTTTTTGGACCATGTCTTGACTACAAATGCCAGGAAGTGGAGTAGGAAAATGTAGCAGAATGCGGTACGAACTTTCTCGCAGCCGATCCCAACTATCAATAACTGAACCAACTAACAGCAAAGTTGAATCAGGCGAAGTCAACCCTTGATTGTAAGGACAGAGACTGGGCTCATAAGAAGCAGAATCTCGCTCTCCTTGTGAAGGAGGTACAATAGACCAAACATTAATCATTATCAACATGAGCTCCATGGCCATTATTTTTCTCTCATATGGAGCAGAAGGATAGCATGAGAAAAACAAAAAGGAACTCATCCACTTCATGAAGTAAAAAAGATCCTCTGCTTTGTTAACTGCACCTTCCTCAGTTCCCTTACACGGAGAAACTTCCTTACTGTCACAGTCTGCAAAAGGTTGCCAGCCTCCCTGCTTAATTTGTCTCTCCAAGGCCGTCCGAACCCGTGAAAAGAACTTTCTGAACAAGCTGCTCCATTTCATCTGAAAAGCTGTCGAGCAACATCTCATGTTCAATGGCACTGCTTCTTTCATCAGACTGAGTTCTAAACGGGATGGTAGACTTGATGTCTTTGGGTTTAAAAATAGAGACTCTGCTGCATCTATACGAAGTGACTCATCAACATGGATGAGTGCAAGTACTAGCCACTCTGCCAGGACTTTAACCTTTATCCCCTTGATGCAGAAAACAGCATAACAATCAATCTTTCCTGCTCTCAGGCTTCCCCCTTCCTGAGATACTAAAGAATTATCACACCAGTCAATATCCCCTTCAATCAAAGCAAGAAAGCGAGAAACCTTGATCAAGGAGACCAAAATGGCCACTTGTTGTTCAACCCTGAGAGGCATATATATACTACTGAGCTCAGGATAAACCAGTTCAATCTCTACTTCACCTTGCCCGACCGAAATGAAAGCAAGCATGGAAAAGATGGCATCCACATCCAATTCTAGTAACAAAGGCAAGGCATACGTGTTCAAATTTGAGCGGAGCTTTGAGACTCCAGAAGCAAGACCAAACAAAAAGGGAGGCAAGCAATGACCTCTGTATTTTGCATAACCACTTTCAACACCATCACTGCTCCAACATTCATCACGCAAACACTCGAGAAAACACTTCAAGAATGTTGTGACAGCACAGCAAACATCATCATCAATGTAAGCATGTGTCGCTTCAAACAGCAAGTCAGAGCTCATATCTAAAATAGCCTTTGCTCCCAACCTCTTGGTCAGAGAAGCTAAAGGAACATATCTTCCCTTGCAACGTGGTCCTAGGCGGAGAAGATTTGATGTAATTTTCTGTAAAGACAACTTTATTCTCTCACTGCCCTCTGACCAACGGAGGGTAGACTGAATGTCTAAGAATAGATCAAAAATAAGATGAACTTGTTTGACAGTTTGACTAAGAGGATCCTCAAGGTTATTCCATATGATGCTCAATATGCGGGTACCCATGTCCTCTGAGATTGGATCATAATCTTCTGTTGGATTACCAACATTAGCTTGTATTAAAGTTTTTATCTGTTGCAAACAGATCTGCATTACAGTTAATGCATGGAAGTTAAAATGGCTATCAGTTGGGTTCTCACAGTACTTGCACAGCTCAGGCAAAATTCCATCATAGAGAATTGTCTGAACTGGGTTAATTATGTCTCCATTAGCATGAAAACCACTAATATCGTACCCTGATACAACAAACTGAGTATTAAGTACTGTTCTAGAAACTGCCGTAAGGATTCCTCTTATCAAGCAGAGTCTACTCAAAACAGAAAAATTACGGATTTCACAATACAAATCCCCCTTGAATGGAACCTTGAAAATTGCATCCTTGAATTCATTGTGAGGACTACCAACACGAACACAATTTGTTCGAAAAAAGACACCTTCCATGATAGCCAAACCAAGCTCCTCGGGACTGAGACACACCTGGAGAGCTGCACAAAAGCTAACCCCTGCAGCCACAAAACAATCCCTTGAAAATGCAGGCGATTTCAGAATGCTTAAAATGGACATCAAAATCATCTCCAAAATATCGGAATCCTGCGGTACCAAATCACTCTGACTAGCAATTAAACCATTGAACTTCAAGGGAAAACGCTGAAGCAAGTAATACATACAAGACAAAGCCTCTTGACACTGTTCCATAACAATCGGCGAAGGCCTAGACCAATCATTAGTCACCGAAACAACAGAATTCAAACCAGATACTATATCCAAAGCCACCAAAATAGCACATTCCTCAATAATTTCCACTAAATACCCTAACTTGGGCGAACTCATCATCGACAGAGCCACACGGGACACACAAAACCTCTTCCCTTTTCCATTCACACCACCATACTCATCGCAAAGCAATCGAAAACAATTACTAATCGAGGACTGAAAATTTCGACTCTTTGCAAGGACGGAAACCAATGTTCTGTGTAAGGGCAAAGAATTCTCGAGGAAAAGAATTTCCAAGTAAAATGGAGCAGAATCGGAAACTAAATCCTCTCGATTTTGTCCTAGTAAGTCTCCGAAAGCCGAAGCGAGTTTCTTAACGTGGTTGACTTGTGCATAGATTGAATTGAGAGAGACGAGTTGTTTCAATTCGGAGAAAAATTTAGGAGATAGTGTGTCTACAGGCAATTGATTCAGAGAATCTATGTAAGATTGTGGGAATATGATGGCGCTGTAAGTGTAGCGATGGCGATGTTGCAATGCTCGCCATTTCGCAGACATGATTGTTTGAACTAAAAAGGATTGGTTTCTGTGAGCGAGTTTTTTGAGATTGAAGTGAGAGCTTGAGAGAAGAAAGTGTCACCTGAACGATGACGATGATAGTTGTGCATGAAGAAGCGTGAGAAATGAAGTTCCTTTTGTGCTTACTCTGAACAACTCTATAATGGCGAATAGTCTCTGCGTCGTCGAATTCTTTTTCTCTCTCTAAATCTCTACTATGAGAGAGAGAGAGAAGGCGGCTTGTTCTCTGCAAAAATACGGGGTTTAGGGTATTACAACTAAAATGACATAAACACACCCCCGCGAACGGATCCTCTAGAGTAACCCTCTAGAGTGATCTCCTAAAGTGAGCGGATCGGACGGCTCAGAGTATTTCTCACCAAAACGATGTCGTTTTGGTGAGGAATTAATCTTAACCCTTAATTCTATTAGTGGGATACATGTCGAGCCCATCTCAGTCACTTTAGAAAATCACTCTAGAGAAATCACTCCAGAGGATCCTAACGCTTGGAAGAGGACTTTGCTGTCAAGGCAAACCTTGTCAATGAAGCGGAGGATGTAGAATTTGATTAAAAGTTGAATTTGGTTGAAAACTCTGCGGTGAATAGAAAAGGGGTTGATGTGGTTGACTTTGTTGATGCTGAAGTCAGAAATCTCCTGGCTATAAACTTTAATAATTAAAATGTTAAATTTTTTAAAAAGTTTTCACTGATTTTTAATTTTTCCAAAAATAAATAAATACATAACTCCAAAATCTTTGGTTTGTATTGCTTCAGTTTGGAATGACCTTTCTAAAACATTTGAAATAGAAATTCATGTTGACTCTCTTTGCCGGGCAAATATTTTCCACATTTTTTGAAGTTTGGTACAACTGAAAATAAGAGTCAACGAAAGAAAATGTTTTCCTTTTTTTTGAACCAGAAAACATTTTCCAGAAGTCGATCAATTTGTCAAGCAGCACTGAGGTTCTCGTTCCAGCGGTATGTGCTCTCTCTCTCTCTCTCTCTCTCTCTCTCTCTCTCTCTTTGTCTTCATCTTCTTTCTCTTACTCGTTTTCTTCATCTTTTCTCTCTATCTGGTATTTCTCTCACTCTTTCTTGCTCTCATTTTGTAGATAGCATTGATTTACTTTCAAATCTACGAACCAACCCTCCCAGGTACAATTTTCTAGTAACTATTGTAGATATGTTGTGATTTTCTTAAAATTTTGTTACAGATCTATATGTTTTCGCTGTTGTTGAGATATATAATTGATTTCTATGGTTGGTTTGCTTTCAGATCATTATGTTTTTCTATACCTATGTTAAACATGATTTCCGTTGGTTTTCTATGGATGATTTCTGGGCAATTGCTTTTTCCAGATCTGTTATTTCTTTTGGGTATTTGGATCTTGGATGAATTGATGCTGAATTTGTTTTTTATTTTTATTTTTAACGTTCTGTTTGTTTACTGAGAAAATTGAGGAAAATTAGGAGGTTAGCGTGTTCTACATTGAATAGATTTGTCAGATTGGGCTGATAAACTAAGCCATAGCTTAATTTTACTTTTGTTTTGTAAGGTGAGGACTGGTTGTCAAGCCTGACTTGTCATTAAGTGGGATAGGAATATGTAGAAATTTTTTGTTAGTGATTTTGTTGAACAACATAATCATATCTTCGTACCAGCAGAATGTACGCATATGTTACCATCCCAAAGGAAGATATCTTCATCACAGGCAACCGAAATAGATTTAGCCGAAAAATCTGGAATCCGTCTTAATGCTGCATTTGAGCTCATGGGTAATGAAGTTGGTGGAAGGGAGTCGCTTGGGTTTACAAAACTTGACCAAAAAAATTATTTGAGAACGAAGAGGCAAAACAGTTTAGCATATGGGGAGGCAGGTAGCATTTTGCAATATTTTCGTGACAAATCATTGGAGAATCCATCTTTTTTTTACTCGGTCCAATTAGATAACGAGGAGCAGATTACGAACATATTTTGGGCCGATGCTCAGATGATCATGGATTATGGGCAATTTGGTGATGTTGTCACTTTCGACACTACTTACAAGTTAAATAGTGCACATAGACCCTTTGCGTCTTTTGTTGGATTGAACCATCATAGGGAAACTGTGGTATTTGGTGCAGCTTTGATGTATGATGAGACTGCCGATTCTTTCGTATGGCTTTTTAGAAGATTCTTGGAGGCAATGTCAAGTAAGGCTCCAAAAACAATTTTTACGGATCAGGATGCTGCAATGGCTAAGGCCATACCTATTGTCATGCCTAACACAACCCACCGCCTTTGCACTTGGCATTTGATGCAAAATGTATTAAGGCATGCAAATTCTATCTTCAAGGATAAGTCGATGAAGGATAAGGGGGTGAAGAGTGTTTTATACACGTTTATGTACGACATTGAGGATGAGGAAGAGTTTATGTTAAAATGGGAGGAAATGCTTGACAAGTATGAAGTAATAGATAATCATTGGTTGAAGTTAACATTTGGGGTCAAGGAAAAATGGGGTTGGCTATATGTTAGAAATGCATGGGGTGCGGGCATGAGTAGCACCCAACTTAGTGAATCCTTTAATGCTTTCTTGAAGGATTTCATTCGGTCTGATCATAACTTAATGCAATTTTTCATGCATTTTGATCGAGTTCTGTCTGAGAAAAGGTACAAAGAGTTACAAGCTGAATATGCTCTATGCCAAAAGTTGTCCAGGGTGAATATTAAAGTGAAGATTATGGAGCAAGCTGCAGCTGTTTACACAAATAAAATTTTTGAAGAATTTCAGGATGAGTATGTCAAGTCCCTTGAAGTCAACATTGAAGAAATTGAAAATGATGGTGAGAGTACCGTTTATACGGTTCTTGATAGTGATGGTATAAGGGTGAGGAAGGTGAGGCAGGAGTGTGATGATTCGGTCACTTGCAATTGTAGGAAGTTTGAAATGAAGGGCATTTTGTGTAGTCATTGTTTGAAGATCCTTAGAGAAAGACTCAAATTGAAAGAGATTCCTTCACAATATATTCTGAAGAGATGGACTAAAAAAGCAAGATCTGAAAATGTGAAAGATAGGTGTGGGCATGATATTCAGGTTGATGTAAGATTGCATCAAACTTCACGTTATAGGTCATTGATGGCAATATTCAGAGTAGTAGCGTGTAGAGCTTCTGAAAGTGAGGAAACATATAATTTGACGGTCGAGAAAGCGGATGAATTAATTGCAGACATTGAAACCATGTTAAGCGCAAAATTCAATATGCCTTGTTCAGATACTATTCAACAAGAAAGCCCCCCCAACACATGCCCCGAAAGCTTTGAAGTGGATGGTGTAGCGGATAAAAATGTAGTCCAAGCAAAAGGACTCAAGAGAAAAGAGTGCACTAGCAAGGGACGAAGGCGGACAAAAGGTGGTTTGGAGCTTGCGTTGGCAAAGAAAAATAAAACAAGTTCACATAATGCTTCTCAAACTTCCATATCTGTTACTCCTCAAACTCCTCCCTTATTTTCGGCAAGTGCACCTGAAGCACCTCCCTTAATTCCTCAGTCTGCACCTTTATTTTCAAGTGTTCCTCAACTTCCTCCATTCTCGCCGAGTGTTCCTCAAGTTAGAGCTTCTTCGTCTCAATTTATGTATTCCGCCTATGATGTAAGTTAGTTTAATAAAAAGTTTTAGTACGAATTTGTAGCTTACTATTATCATTTTAGATTGATATGTGTTTGTTATTGTTGCAGCCAAGTTTTCTTCATCACAATATGCATTTTTCAATGCCATCGATGTATTCCGGCCATGGAACCTATCAAGCATTGCTTAACAATGCAAGTAGTTATCACTCGCAAGCTTCAAATAGTCCCGCATGTAGTGGAGTAATTTTTTTTTTCATCTTTTCTCTTTTATTTTGTCATTCATTCATTTAAAGTTCCATTTTATTTTATGGTTCCTTTGATGTAATATATATATATTTTTTTGTAGGTACTATATGGTCGTGGGCGCGGCCGTGGGCATGGGGATGTGGATCACACGCCAACGTCTTAGCGTTATTTTGTTTTGGGAATTTGTGTGAATTTTTTGTTGGATATGTAATATTCAAAACCTTTCATCAAACTGTTGCTAAAAATTTTCTGTTCAAATTACTCAGTAAATGTTGCTGAAACTAATGTTGAAATGTTGAAATTTTGATTAATTTTTGAAATGTTGAAATGTTGAAATTTTTTGTTCAAATGTTCAAATGTTCCTGCTGGCAGCATTCCTTGGGTTCTTCTGCTGAAATGTTCAAAATTTTCTGTTGAAATGTTCAAAGTTTTCTGTTGAAATGTTCAAATTTTTTGTTCTTCTGCTGTGGGCAGTCTATCTGCTGGGGTTCTTGTTGCTGTCACTCATTGTTGTTGATGGATGTATATTCAAGGTGTAAAAAGGTTCTTCTGCTGGATTTTGCTGCTGGACTTTGTTGCTGTCACTCATTGTTGTTGATGGATGTACATTCTTGTTGCTGTCAGCTCCCATCATTTATTTTTATATGCTGAAGTTTAATGTGCAAGTGCCTAGACTTGGGAGCTCTTCATAATTGAAAATGCTTATATCATGCTGCTATGCAATAGTTTCATGTTGTATGATAGATTTTCAGATAACAATTGCTGCCTTTCTTAATTATGAAGAAATGATAGATGCATGATATTAAAAGTTTTCAATGTTAGCCGATACTTGGCCTTATGTTTTCCATGACATCGAATTGTATTGTTCAGTCTGTAAAGTTGCTTAAACTATTATCTTACTGCATAATTTAGGTGGCTGACCCCCATTTGATGTCTTTTTTATGTGTACTTCATTTGATTCTCATATTAGACTCAAAAGGACAGTTTTGTATTTAGAGCTCCTTGAAAGGATTTAATAAGTGTTGTTCTAGCTAGAGTGTAAAATTGTTAATTTGGCAGGCTTGCTTCACTAATTTATATATCTGGTATCAAATTTTCATCTGCTAAAATTGTATTTTACATTGATTTTCAAGAAGGTGATATAAGTTGATTATAATTGGAAGCTTTGATCTTACCCATCGTTGCAGCAAACACCTTGAACCTGTTCATGGAACACATTGAACCTGTCCATTACAATACACCTTGAACCTGTTCTTGATGAAATATTTGGCAGCATACATCAATTAAACATATTTGGCAGCATACATCAATTTGGCAGCAAACACCTTGAACCTGTTCGTTGAACACATTGAACCTGTCCATTACAAATACACCTTGAACCTGTTCT